AAAAAAGCCAATCTTAATATCGAAGTTTGAATATTTTTCCCCTCTGAGGTCAGGGTTGAGCCTTCTTTTAATTTCACCCTTATCCTTAATCCTCTTACTGATCCCACACAGGCTTTGAATACTCAAGGTACATGCCCGGAGTTTTCGTCACTTTATAATCACCAAGAATATCTGGAACTCTATTAATTGAAAATCAGATTGTTTATTCAAAATTTTAATATTTCTAAAGAATTTTATATATTTTATATCTGGGAATTACTTCAGGATATAATTGAATAATTCCTTCCAAAACAGGTGATACACATTTTTGCACAGGAAACGTTAATTTTCTTTTACTAATGTAGAAAAGAATGGCTAGGTAGGAAAAATGACTTGTTGAAGATTTCAACAAAAGTTCAAGACCAAGATAATAAAGTCATGGCTTCTATCAGTCAGTTCTAAGTGGTGTCTCTCATAAATCTCTCTATTTCTTACCATCCGCTCTCTATGTCTCCAATGGCTTTAAGATATAATGACTGTCTGTCTCACGCTGGATTGGCAACTGTGAATACAGTGAAATCTAATCTTAGGAGTACTCTTCCCCGAGTGGGTCAGAAAGATCTCTGTAAGATAAAAGCATGCCTCTATAAAACTATCCTTCCAGCACAGATTTGATTGTAAGATAAAATCAAAACTGCTCAAATAACCCCTAGTCACCTACCCAATAGTACTTCACTAAGAATAAGTATTTATTTGTTTTTCTGGAGGTGATACACCAAATGCCAAACACATAAAGTAAGCACAAATGATAATTACACAATCAATCAAATAAAATCAGCTTGGGATTTTAAGTGTATAATTTAATTCAGTACACAAAACAAAATTATTTTCATAGTGAAAAAAGTGAAGTGTTAAAATTATTCCCTAAATTAATTATTTATAGCAGCAGTCCCCATCCATTTTGGCATCAGTGACTGGTTTCATAGAAGGTAATTATTCCACAGATTGAGGGTGGCAGAGGGAGATGGCTTCAGGATGACTCAAGCGCTCTACATTTATGGTGTACTTTATTTCTATTATTATTACATTGTAATATATAAATAATTATTATGAAATCATTATTTTGATATGAATCTGCAAGCAATTGATTTACTATGTTTACTATGCAGCCAAACCGCACCGCTAGTGTTAATCTGCATTTGCAGTTGCTCCCCAGTGCTAGAATCACCACCTCAGCTCCACCTCAGATCATCAGGTGTTGTTAGAGTCTCATAAGGAGTGCACAACCTAGATCCTTCACATGCACATTTCATGATAGAGTTCGGGCTCCTATGAGAATCTAATGCTGCTGCTGATCTGACAGAAGATGGACTCAGGCATTAATACAAGCAATGAGAAGCAGCTGAAGCTTCTCAATGAAAATACAGATGAAGCTTCACTTGCTCACCCATCATTCACCTCCTGCTGTGCGGTCTGTTTCCTAACAGACCACAGACGGTACTGGTCCATGGCCCGGGTACTGGAGGCTCCAGATTTGTATTATTTCAATTTTACAGCAAAAGTAATATTTCTCTTTAGTTAAGAACAACAAACACCAAGACTGCAGTTTTGTCCCTGTTTATCAAAATGTTTGATGTAACCCTGATACCTTATGTATCAAAGCCTGCTCTGAAGGATGAGCCATTTTAGTTATCTGCCACAGTTGTCCTTCTATCATCATCTTCCTCAGAAAATGTACACAAATGCTGCTTCCACTGCACCTCATAACTATATAAAATTTTTACTTTAAATGTGAAAACTTATGTCTTCATACAATTCAGGCATAAGTTTTTCTTTCAATCTCAGTTGCTCTGAATTCTTTGTCAGTAAATATCAATTTCCATAGTAAAACTACAAATCAGCACAAAAAATTCAAGGTAAATCAGATCTTTCTAAGTTCTTTAATATAACTCAAAAGCAAATAAAGATGTTATTAAGTTTTCTACTAGGTACAGTTTACAAGTCTTAGAACATCAGTCACCAATCTGGAAAACAAAATTCAAACAAAACATTGACAACTATCTTTCTGTTTTCTCTTCAGAGGTCCTATAACTTTATCAAAAGAAGGACCCATGTTATAAGGTACTATGGGAGGAAATTCTTAGATATCCAGTCAAAAAGTAAGAACGGGGGGGAAAAAAAAGTAAGAAATTGATGCAGTGCTTTGGCTAGAAGAGTTGTCAATGATTTACAGATGTGGCTGCTAATTAGTTGAATAAGGGAAAAAGTGAGGAACTGCCCCAAATTCCATTTGTCCTGGGTAGCCTGTGTCTTAGGTTAAACTCCTATAAAGTGTCTATTTCCAGAATGGTCTTCTTAGCCAGACGAGAACATCTCACAAGTATTTAACACCAAAATCTTACATAGGATAGTGTTTTTTGAATCACCAAAGATAAGATGGAACATTGTTATGGAAATAACATCTACTCATCAAGCAGTTACAGATCTGCTGAAGATCTAAAACACACATATTTATATAGAGACAATAAGAAGCTAGTCCACAAGTTCTAAAGGCACAAAATTTATCGTGTTACTAAATCACTGAAGTTAATAAGTAAAAAAGATGTACTTTAGACAATATGTTTCTATATGAAAGAGCAAACCAAAGATTATTAGCTGATCAAAAAATTGTGAAAAAATATTGCTTGGCAAAAGTAGCACAAAGTTCTGCTCATCTCTTAGTTTCAGGGGAATAAAATTATTAGATGAATACATAGATATTTTAAAAGTAACTTGCAGACCAAAGGTTTAAATAAAGTATTTTCACTTAGAAAGTTGTAACTGTCAAAGGATTTAAATATATCATATTAAATTATAAATCTATGAAAAGTAACTATGTGAAAATTAGTTATACCACCACAAAATTATACAGACAGAACAAGAGCTATCACTAAAATAGAGGGGCAAGTATAACATATGCCATAGGAATAATGAAAAAGACAATACATGAAGTTGAATAAAATGCTTGAAGGTAATACAAAGTAATGAAGTCTGATAGAAGAGGCGCCACACTGGTCATATCTCTAAGCAACAGGCAATCAAACCTCCAGATAAGCATCTTCCTAGTACACAACTGACTCCAATGCATGGGTCATAATCAGAGAAGCACTTCCTGGATCAGGAGCAATTATAAAAATTTATCAGACCCTTTTTAACAGAAGAATCTAAAACAGAATGTTTCCGTAAACTTGTTTCCATTAAGAACTAAAATCATTTAGCCTCGATCTAGTTAGACTTGTTAGCCTTGATCTTGTTAGCCAAGATCTTGTTTTCTACTGATGGACAAAAGTAATTCTGTTAACAACAGTTGGTTCTATTAGATAAGGTAGACAGAGGTTCCACCACAAAACATTATTCACTCAAAAAATGTATTGAACAATATAATTTCCTCCTTCAAAAGGGATCCAAACCATTTGAGAGATGGCTGATAAACGGATTATTCAGAAATGTCCAATTCCTCATCTATGGGGCTTCTTTAGCTCAAAGCAAAAGAAAGCAACACATGTTCCACTGTTTTGGCTACTTTCAGAAACGAGTGGTTTTCTATAATGCAAATAGGCCTAGAAAAATAATAATGAAGCTTAGGACCAAGAAGTTCTTTCCCTATTCAAAAGATAGGCAGAGGCCTATAAATAAATAAAATACTTAAAATACTTCAGGTTGAAATACATAACATTTCCAGGATTTACAATTGTAAATGATTACTCCAGATGAGCACGATCTCTTAGCGTTCTCAGAATGTGACTACAAAAAAGATTTATTATTTAAGTTACCTATGTCAATACCTCATTCAATGCAAGGAAGTGAGGATAGAGGACGCTACACATTTTCATGCTCATTTCCAAGGGACAAGCATGGTTGCCAAGTTAAAGCAGAGGAACAAATATAGATCCTCTAAAGTAATAATCTACATTAAAAACAAAGGCTTAGCCCTGGATGGGGGCAGGCACACAAGATGCAAGGAACAATCCACTGACCAAAAAGTCAGAAAGCTAAGATAATGTACAAAACCCACTGGCTTTGAAAGTTAAAATTATATTCCAAGACAGAGTCAGAAACAGAAGCTTTGGTCTTTTAAAAGTGACCTTCACAAATCAGTTTTTTGTTTCCATTTTCTTTCACAGTTTAAGCCTCAATCAAATCAGCAGTCTCTAGGGATTTTGAAATCGCTATAGATTAAAAACCTCTCTGACTCAACTGTTTGACTAATGCCGAGTATTTAATAATTATACTTTAGAATTTTTGGGCAAAATCCTGCTGTGTGCTATCTTCAGATGTTCTCCAGCTATACCATAATACAAGGCATCACTGTCCTTATTTTCTTTATAATTCAATTTAGAGATGCAAAAAATATTATTACAGCCAGTCCTTTTATTTAGCAGGCCTGGTTGAAAACAGTTTTATAATACCAATGTAGGAACTATCACCTATAAAGGCAAAGAGTTCCTTCCAGGTACTAATGATACATATTCATAGCTTGTTTCCAAGAATATGAAATTTATAACAATGATGGATAGATAAGAGTTAAGTTAATGAATTTCTAAACTTTATGCTTTCAATAATAAAATCATTCAATCTATAGCATTTGTGCTCTTTCCACTTCCACAGATTAGGTCCTTTGATACTCAACAAGTTGAGTAAATTGAATCCATATATTGTATTTACGTTCTCTGTCAAGGGAGCTTCTCCACATTTCAGTGATCAAAGGCAAATAGTCATCAACTTTGTAGCCTTCAATACTATGTTCATTACATTTAATCAAGTGCCAACTCCACTGCATCATTCACCAACCTTAAGAACGTTTAAAAGCATGACTTTCTTTAGCAACAAATATATGTACAGTACTGTATTAAAATGTGCACATACCACAAGACAAAAAAACAAAGAGTAAGGCAAATAAATATCACCCTCTATATTGTGCAAGAAAATAAATAAAAACTGCACAGAACTACCTAGTAAACATTTCAGAGATAGTTTTCTACCTGAGGCAGCATCAATCACTGTGGAAACTCCCCTTCGATCAGAGACTGGACGGGATGACCCTGGCATGCTGACTGGGTCAGAGCGGACTGGCTGGATCCTGCAATGTAATTTAATTTAATTCACATATGTTACTGGCATCAAAACTGTCACTTGCTACAAAAGACCTTAAATCAGGAAGGTTGGAGCAGCCGAATCCATTAAAGAACTATCCATTCTAACATCAAACATACAAGGGAGCTGCATTCCCTGATTTTTGCACAAGAATAAAGCACTACAAACATTCTCTCTAGTCCAAATCCCTTCTAACCTATCTTTGTGGGCTGTTCAATAGATTTTAAGGAAGAGATTAAAAAGCTGACATTAATTTAAAGGGACACAATAAATAGAATGGGAGAGGAAACGAAACACTGAAGAAGTTTATACTACAACCTTTGGCATTTACAAGAGTTTTCAGAATTCTGAAATTGATAAAAAAAAAAACATAGCTAGTTATATAGTCAATAAAAGGCAGCAATATGTGATTCAAGATTTTGAGATAAAATCCTCAATGAAAGTTACTTTATGTATGACAGTAAGCTTAGGATAACAAAGTTATGCTGTGGCTGCTGGGGGTTTAGCTAGAATAACAACTGAGCTAACTCCATAATATTACCAAGTAGTATATAAGAATTAATTAAAATCTCAGTAAAACTGTAATATACTACATATAATTTAAAGTTGCCTAAGAATAATAAACAAATAAATGCCAATATCTCTTTCCACCTGCATTAGAATAAATGCTATTAACATAAAAGTATCTGAAAGACTAAAAGATCTGAAAATTCCAGGCAACTTAGAGAAACGGAAATTGTTACAATATATGCATGCTTTTCTGGTAATTCTTTCATACAATAAGTATTTACTGAATATTAATTGTATATCAGCATTATTCTAGGAACAAGCAGAAACAAAATATCTATATGCAGATATATGACAGCACATGAGCATTCATAACTTGTAGCAAAAGAAAACCAAAGTGTAAATAATAAAGACTCGGATTCAAGAGAAGGGAATTTATGCGTGGTTTACATGAGATAGAGAAGATCTGGTGGAGCTGGAACAGGAATTAGATCTGTGTATAGTAACAGGAGATACACACAAAGAAAGAGAGAGAGAGAGAGAGATAGAAGGAGGGAGAAAGAGAGCGTGAGCGCACACATGCATGTGCAAGAAGTATCCTTCAAGCACAGGAGTACAAAAAGCAAAGCCTAGGATTTATGACTGAGCATGATAAATGCAGGGCATCTTGAAGTGCATGATTTGGCTAAAGCATAGAGTTCATAAAGGGTACTGGTGGGAAATAAAAACCTGATAAAAAACAGGGAACAGATTATAGAAGCCTAGAATGCCAAGTATGAATTGTAGACAATTACTGTACAATTGCATACTAGATACTGAAAGTACAGTTTGAATGCATGTGTCTGTGGTGGAAAACAAAGAAATGCGGGGAAGTGTAAGATGATCTAGTATTAAAATGTGAAAACATTGATTCACAAATATTGATCACTGCTATGTAGAACTACCCAATACTTGTTCCACCTCAGCTTATTTTTTTAAGCCAATCATAGTATTACCATCATATCTTGGCAGCAGTTGGTTAGTTCTGAGACAGGTAAGCCTAAGCTAATTTGGTCAGTTAGAAAAAGAGTAATTTAAGCCATGGCAACATAGTGAGACCCTGCCCCTACAAAAAATAAGAAAAAATTAGCTGGGTATAGTGGTGTAGTCCCAGTTACTCAGGAGGCTGAGATGGGAGGATGGCTTGACCCTGGGAGCTCGAGGCTGCAGTGAGCCATGATTGTGTCACTGAACTCCAGTCTGGGAAGCAGAGTAAGACCCTGTCTCAGAACAAGCAAACAAAAAAGGGAAGGGGAGGAGAGAGGAGGGGTGAGGAATCATTTAGTTAAATGTTCTGGAAAAGAAGGTTTTTGGTTTTGAGAGCAACAGAAAAGTAAGTACATTCAAAGTAGTATCCCCTTCTAGTCTAAACAACTTCCTGTGTGGGCTAGTAAGTTTCTTATTGTTAATTCAATTTACATTGGGGCTGTTGACTAATCCAGAGTTGGAAGTAATATATGAACAGGGCTATAGATGAAATAACATTGGCCATGAATTGATGTGTTGAAGCTGGGCAACAGATATATGGGATGTATTCTTTTTATCTTATGTATGTGAACTTTTTCCATAATAAAGACAGAAAAAAAAAATACATTGGTTAGGATGATGGAAATACTCTGGAATTAGATCACAGGGATAGATGTACACCATAGTGAATACAAGGGGGACCCCTAAAACTGAATTATACTTTGGAGGGTTGGCCCCTTGTAGTACATTCATAATTTGTTCCTCTAGATCAAATGGTCAAGCAAAGTTTTTTTTTGTTTTTTGTTTTTTTTTGAGTTGGAGTCTCACTCCATTGCCCAGGCTGGAGTACAGTGGCACACTCACAGTCACCCCACCATCGACCTGCTGGGCTCCAGTGATCCTTCTACCTCAGCCTTCCAAGTAGCCGGAACCACAGGCGCACACTACCATGCCTGGCTAATTTTTTATTAATTGTAGAGACGAGGCCTCGCCAAGTTGCCCAGACTGATCTCAAACCCATGGGCTCAGGCAATCCACTTGCCTCAGCCTCCCAGAGTGCTGGCCTCCCAGAGTGCTTGGTCACCGAGCCCAGCCCAACCAAAGTTTTTATCTGGAAGTTTTGAGAAAGTTGCATCACAATTTGTGGAACAAACATTCTGAGTCATGGCAAACAGAAGACTGGTTCTTCTACCACGACAACATATTTGCCCAGACCACACTAAGTGTTAGCAGCTTTTGACCATAAATGGCATGATTCCCTTGCCCCACCCTCTCTATTCACCTGATCTCATCTGAGTGACTTTTTGAGTTTCCCCAGCTGAAATAAATCCTCAGAGGGAAAGCTTTGCTGATGTGAAAGAGGTGAAACAAAAAACAGCAGAAGCACTAAAAGGTATCAAAATCGACACATTTAAAAACTGTTCTGAGCAGTGAAAAAAGCATCTTAATAGGTGTATTGTATCAAACAGAGAGTACTTTGAAGGTGACGGAAGTTTAAACATGTGAGAATAAACACACAATTTTGTATTAATAAATTCCAGGTTTTTTTGGGTCCCTCCCCCCTTGTATACTAAAAGCCACTGAATTGTACACCTTAAAATAGGTGAATTCTATGTTATATAAATTATATATCAATTAAAATACAATATAATAAATGGTAACCAATTTCTGAGTAGCTAATCTTGAGTGGAAAGGGAAGCTTTCTATACTCAGGTTCTTTTATAGTTTATGCTTCTCAGGTCTATTAACAAGTATTCCATTGAACTTTTACATTTTTAATCACCGTTCTGGGTAGAGAACTGCCACAAGGTTAAGCCATGCCTGATTCCCTTATGAATGAGTCAACACTATACCTGTTTCCTTGCCATTTTGGTTAGGGTCAGGGAGGCAGACTATAACTGCACTATACATTCTTAATGATATCTTATAGGGGACAGGACAATGTACTAGATGTTAAGGATCAGTTTTTTTTTTTTTTAAAGATGCAGTATACAGTTCGAGATTAGGTATACAAGTGTTCATCATACAGATGAAGTCTGGGCCTCCCTATGTCCGCACCTTGCCGGGTACCCTTATTGATGTTGTGGTCCCCCCCACCCAACCTGGCAGTATCACACTACTACCAATCCCTTTCTTATAAATTTTACGGTAAATTGAACCCCAAAAATCTAAACAAAGACTTCACACTTTAAAGAAGAAAGTAAAGCCAATGGCCTGCCACAGTGCCATTGTGCATAGACCTGGAGAGATGAAGATGAATCAGAAGTGAGGAACTAGGTTAGAGTGATAATAAAGAATAAGGTGAAAATGAATAGCTGGGTTTCTATTCAGATACTGGCTAGAAAATAGTACCAAAAAGGATACAAAATGTATGAGTCAAATCGGAATTTCCCCCTAAACTTGTGCTGTGGAGTCTTAACCAAGGTCCTAACCAAGCTTTATCTGTTCAAATTTTAAAATATAATACTGAGTGATGTATCACAGAAACAGAGAACTGAGTATCACATGTTCTTACTCATAAACGGACCTTGAACAATTACCATAATACTATAAGAAAAGGATTGGCAATAGCAGGAAACTGCCGGGGGTGGGGTGGGGGGTGTGTGTTGGGATTGGCAGTAGTGGGAATTGGCCAGAGGAGGAGGCATACCTCATCCACAAGGGTACTTGTATAATAAACATTTGTATACCTAACCCCATATCTTTAAAATACAAAAATTAGGTCATTGCCTTGCTAGGCTATGATGTGGCCATGTGCTTACTGAGTTACGGTTGTTGCCATGCTTCCTGGCTTTGGCCCCCTCCCCCACCGTAAGGAGGTGAAACTTCTCTCTCCCCTCACTTTCTCACTCTAATTTATTTTAAAATAAATCATATTTAAATATAAATAAAATAATTAAAAGAGAGAATATATATATAAATTATATAAGCAATTTAAAGAAATTTATAAAAATCTGCTGCCCAATATAAAGGATTAGGGTTAGGGTTAGGGTTAGGTTTAGGGTTAGGGTTGTAATGTGTTATAATGTGTGTACAGTAAAAGACAGTATTCTAATCAAAGATAAATAATTTAAAGTCATCTGGATTTTTAAAAAATACTGGCAGTTATTCAGTCTAAAAAAAGGGAAGTCCCTGAGGAAAATTCTGAAGGAATTTTCAACTTGTAAAGATCTTCTAGCAAGATCTTAGAAGAACCTTATCTAAGGTAAAGAGTAACTAAGAAAACTGAAGGAGGACACAAAACCAAAAGATGAATTTCTATATATAGAAACTGATGATGTCTTCCTAAGAAAAAGGGCAGAGCCTTATAATAGCAGCTAGTCATAGTCACTAGAAAAAAAGAGATAGGGTGTGGTACATGTTTAGCAAGGAAAATAAATGTGCTACAAAGTTGTAAAGAGAATACATGGGGCATTCATTTTAAACACTTTATTATCAACATTTAAATAACTGAATGACTGTTGAAAACAAGAATATGCGGAATCATTAAATTGAGGACTGCCTTAACTACCTGAAAGTGGCTGCACTACCTAATCTAGACCATATTTTATGGCTAGCATCACTGAAAATGGTCTAGCACCACTATATTCTGTCATTATCACCTGACTTCTTGGGGTGGAAAATGTCATTTCTAGAAAGTTAGAGAAAATATGCTGGAATAAGAACAAAAATGTAGAGGATAAAGAAACAAAATGTAAAGCCAATTAAACAAACAAAAAATAAAATACCAAAAAAGGTATTCAAAGGAGATGTGTTCCTTTTTATGAATCTATTTTTCAGAAGATACACTGGTGGGGGGAAACAAAAATAAAAGGGGATACTGATTAGGACCCTAGTGACCAGAGAGATGTGGCTGCTAGGGTGGTGTATTGGGAATCGAGAGGAGGAGATGGTTTCCAGATATAGTTTAGAACAAATATGACATAAGTTAATGAAGAATTAGATGTGCTAGGTGAGAAAGAAGAGATGTCAAAAATAACCTGTAGATTTTGGCTTCAGTGGGTAGTTTGAGGAGTCATTTAAAGAACTAAGAAAGTCTAAGTAATGGAAGAGCAGAATTAGGGGGTGAGATAAAGAGTTGCAATTCACACCTGTTAAGTATTCAATGCTTCAGAGACCGCCAAGAAGAAAAGTCAAGTAGGCAGCTGGCTATACTCTAGGCATATCTTCTGGTACCCAGTAGAGTGCCTGGCAGGTGCTCAATAAATATATCATTAAAAAAAAATACATCAGGACCAGGCACCAAGGCTAATGCCTGTAATCCCAGGGGTTTGGAACAACCCTGGGAAACTTGGTGAGACCTCATCTCTACAATAAATACGTCTTTAAAAAGTTAGTTGTGTGTGGTCCTTGCTTGTAGTTTTAGCTATTAGAAAGAATGAGGTGGAAGGATTGCCTGAAACCAGCAGGTCGAGGCTGCAATAATCATGAGCATGCCACTGCACTCCAGCCTGGGTGACAGAGTGAGGCTCAACTCAAAAAACCAAAACTAAACAAAAAATCAGGCATAACTCAACTTTTCAACAACCTGTTTTGTCATAACAATTTGTTATTGCTATTGACAAAGAGACAGATACAAACATATTTCCACCATGTGACTGGAAGTATTTTCCCACTGTTTTTTTAAAAATGTGTAAGAAAAAGGTCAAAGCACTGCTTTATATTCAAATCAAGATATATTATAAATTTTTTAAAGAGACAACAAGGAAGAGATTATACTGCATTAAATTGTATCCTTCATGTCTGTTGCACCTACTGTGTTAAGTTTTGGTATAACAAATTAAATTGCTAAGCAAACTTGAGATTGCAAAACTAAAAAATATCTGAGTTGCATAAAAAAATAAGCAAATAATAAAAAGCATACTGTGTGCACCTTGTACTATGGCTCTGACAAGTAAGGATGAGAGAATAAATATTATAAAAATATAGTTCACAAACTATAAGTTAATTTATACCAACATTTTTCCATCCAAAAATATTTATTGCATGTAATACGATCCCGTATGAGATCCCACGTAAGACCCCAAGTAAAGACAATAGACCATACATAACGGTACATGTAGTCTGTATCATAATACCATGCCATGCCAAAAGGGGAAATGTAACCATTACATATGATGCTCATTTCAAATGTATAATAATTCTGTCATTCAAATCACTCCTTAGTTCATTTCCTACCTGAGACTGTTGAGATCAAGATCATCTGTATCAAAATCCAAAAGGGGCTGGGGCGTGTCACTTGGACCATGTGACTGCAACACAGATGAACTGGATGATATAACTGTGGTTTGGCCTGAGGGATGGATGGTTTTGAACTGGAACTGTGGACCCATCCACAAACGTCTGTGGGGCCCAGTGTGTGTTACAATTTCAACCTGGAACAGAGTAGAAATGATGATTTAAATGTTCCCTTTGAGAGCCTTTCACAATCCCTTCATCCCTTCTCTTAACACCCACATTCTCCAAGAAGCCTATCTTAACAAAGTGGGAGGGACGGGGGCACCCACAATCAAAATGTGATGATAACCACAGTCTACATAGTCATTTGCAATCTCTCTCTTCTGGTTTTCACCAACATAAATAAAAAATAAATTTTGTTTATATATACGCACATAGGCACACACACAGACACACACATATACAACACAAATGTCACATGAAAGTAAAAAGACCAGTTGCTTGCCTTACATTACTTAGCATCAGCTCCTTAGGATCTACCTTTTTCATTCATCCTAGTTAGTACTTGCCATGTTGTGGGCATGTACTGAATACTACACCTATTAATTCATAGATTAAAAGTAATTCCTTCTCTGAGGCTCAAGCTCATGACAAACCTGAAGTTGTTCTTGAACTATCCATGGAAAAGATGAGGTCTGAAATAATTTTTAATACCCAAAGCCCATTTCTTTCTACAATTAAATATAATATTTACTATATTGCCCTGAACATCCCCAAAATCCGCTTCTAAATGAAGAGATTATGATATATTTTTTCTCAAGCTAGATTTTTGTCTTCAAAATACTATCACTTACAGTGTTTTCTCAACTACCATGAACATTGACACGGGCATTTTATGTGCTACAAAACAGTAATACCAAAATGCTTTGTGAAGTGCATTTTCTGTGGAGTTAGGGAATGTTGCCAATATTATATTAATCACTATAAAGATAAGGCAGAGAGTAGAAGACATTGGGCAAAACCTGAAAATATACTTACCACATGATTTTACAAATGCTCAACTTGAATGAGAGACGAAGTAAGCAAACCTTCAGTGAAAGACTATTTTTAACGTCTTGTCACCGCTACATCCATGTCTGTGCAAATACTTTATGTAACTGACTTCCCACATGCCTTATTTTTGTCCTAAGTTCTTTTCTATTTAATCACATTTCTCTGATTACAGTGATTAATTCTTAACAAAACATAACTGAAAAGGTTCACAGAGTGTAGCTCTGTGTTTGTGAGTCCAAAAGGGCAAAAGCATCACAGCCTTGGAACAATATTCACATTCCCACTAATCACAGGGAGGAAAAGACTCAGATTGAGGACAGTGATTTCTGATTCAAGTAGTTGTATTCAGCAATGTAAATTAGGCCACCGATAAAGCATTCTGTGTATTTTAAGCTCAAAACCATCAGTGTCACAGAGCCGAGAGGTAAACAGATGCCTGTGCAATTTCACTGAGGCGATGGCCAGATGTTCCTATTCACTCTCCTGTTGTGTGCAGGACAAACATATTGTAAATACTTTCACACTGACAGCACACATTACCCCTTTTTCTAATTGAAAAGTTGAAGTGAAGGACAGTGGTTTCTCTGCCAGCATTACTGGGCAACATTTTGGTTTTGGAAAATATACATGCATTATGGGTTTACTTTATCTTGGTATCATCGAGAAAGGATGGACCTCCATACACCAGGAACTCAAGCATCAACCCTCCTTCAAGGAGCTTCCTGTGAATATTTTCAGTTACCTAGACACTGATGAATACTCTGGTTTCTAGATTGGATTCAATTTTTCAGGTTACCCTTCTTGATAAAGCAATAAAACTGCAAATGGCCTCCACTTTTTCTGAGGCACCTGTCTGATAAAAAGCTGCCAAATTGGTAATCTGAGATAGGTCATTAACTTCACAAAATGATGTCAGACTTGAGGCAGACAAAACAACATTTGCAATAAAGTCATTTGTAATTTCACCATTTAAAAATATGCCCCCCAATTTTTTTTTTTTTTTGAGTCGGAGTCTCATTCCATCACCTAGGCTATAGTGTAGTGGGACACGCTCACGGCCACCCCAGTGTCAACCCGCTGAGCTCAGGAGATCCTTCCACCTCAGCCTTCCAAGTAGCCAGAACCACCCAAGCTAATTTTTTTATTTATTGTAGAGATGAGGACTCACTATGTTGCCCAGGCTGTTAGCGAATGCGTGGGTTCAGGCAATCCCCTCACCTCGGTCCCAAAGTGTTGGGATTACAGGCTTGAGCCACTGTGCCCGGCTCCAAATATCTTTTTATTTCAAAGCCTTTGAGGTGAAGACAGTTTCACCTAATAGTGGGTCAGCTAAAGCCATTACAGGACTGGTTTAGAGACCACTAGAAGTAGCATTACATGGGCTTAGGAAAGAAAACCCAGTCATGTAGCACCAGAACTTCTTCAGAGTACAATGCTGAATTTCCATAATGAAAGCATGAACCCAACCTTGAGAAAATGTCAACTTCACAAAACAAACACCAAAGATTGTTGAATGCCTTCACTGTTTTAACAAGATCAACTTTTATTTTAAACCTGATCAAAAAGTGTTTCAAAGAGTCTGTTTAAAATCCAAGGTCTTAAGTGCTTTAAACAGATTGTGTGAAAGATATACATATTTTATGCCCACTGTAATGAAAGCTAAGATACACACACACACACACACACACACACACAGGCATACACATATAGAAGTATATGTATAATGTATGCATAATATGTATATGTATGTCTATGGCAATGTTTATGAGAATTTATAATACGGAAAGGCAATTGGTTAATTCTTGATAATTCAACAAAGAGTTACCAATTCTCCTCATTTTCCTCTAAGGAAAAGAATAAAAAGAGACAGTGTATTCCTCTTTTCTTTTACTTTAATACCCAAATATGTCTGAATTTACCTGAGAAAGCCATTCTTCATCTTCCTGTCCACTATGGTCAGAAGCTAAACTGTCGTAGGACCCATGTCGGGTAATGGGCCCAGGACTTCCAGGGGGAACCACTATAGGAGAAAGAAAATGGATTTAAACGACTTTATTCCAGGCAGCGGAAAACCAAATGTGGGCACAACCAATCTGGATACCATAGTAATTTATGAGATAAAATATAACATTTAAATCACAAAGGTAATTCAAACAATTAAAGAACAAGACAGAAGTTCTAAGGAATAAGAAAGATCTCCAATTAAGAGTACGCTTTTTTAAAATTAGAAAATATAGTTTATTTAAAAGTAAATTAGAGAGCGAGAAAGAGGAGATTCACCTACTCAAGGTAGAGGAGGGGGCCAAAGCTTAAGAAAACATGGCCTAAAAGTACACTTTAAAAAATATTGGCCGGGCTCAGTGGCTCAGCTTGAAATACCAGCACTTTGAGAGGCTGAAATAAATGGATTGCCTGAGCCCGCAGGCTAGAGAACAGCCTGGGCAACTTGGCAAGACCTTGTCTCTACAGTAAATAAAAAAATGAACTGGGCATGGTAGCATGAGCCTATACTTCTGGCTGCTTGGAAGGCTGAGGCAGAAGGATTGCCGGAACCCAGCAGGTCGACACTGGGGTGGCGTGAGTGTGCCACTGCACTCCAGCCTAGGCAATAGAGTGAGACTCCATCTCAAAAAAAACAAAAACAAAAAAACAAAACAAATTTAGTAATGATGTCTAATCACAATAAAAGAAATAAACAAATACCTGCATGTTAATAGTAAAAGTACACTGAAGAGCAGTGACAAATCTATTATTGGGGGATGACAAAGATTCTTTGAAAGAGCTTATTTAACAGTTTCATATACATATTAGGCATAAAAATGCATATTTAACTGAAAAACAATTTCAGCTCCTGAAAAAAAATCCATTTCTAAACAAAAAAAGACATCATTTTCTTAGATACTTGAGTAGTGTCTCTGATTCTTCAGTGGTGTGATATAGTCAAACTGCAAACAGTCAACTTTCTCATAAAAAGAGGAACCTGTGCTTTGTGAAAACAATGAAATAACTGAAAAACATTTTCCTACTATGAACCAAACATAATCTCTTCAAAATCTTAGTCTCTTCTTTGGAAACCAACACTTACTCACTCCCTCTGTCTATCTATCTCTAAAGAGTCTCACTCTGTTGCCCAGGCTGGAGTGTAGTGGTGCAATCATGGCTACCCAAAGCCTCAACCTGCTGGGCTCAGGCAATCCTTCCACAGCCTTCCAAGTAGCTGGAACTATAAGCTCATGCCACCATGCCTAGCTTTTTTTTTTTTTTTTTTTAATTGTAGAGATGAAGTCTTGCCAAGTTGCTGAGACTGGTCTCCAATCCTTAGGGCTCAGGCAATCCTCTTGCTTCCACTTCCCAAAGTACTGGGATTACATGTGTGAGCCATCATGCCTGGCCAAGACTTTAATTTTTAGAGCAGTTTTAGAAACAGCAAAATAGAGCTGAAGGCACGGGTTCCCATATACTCCCTATACCCTTCGAGAAATGAGGCACTGGGAGGAATGAGAAAAAAGCAGAGGGAGGGGAGAGGAGTAGGAAAAACAGTAAGATATGTGAAAAAATAGAAAAGAATGAGGGGCAGAAAACAACCTATAATTTCCACCACCCAGAGGCATGTGTGTATATATCGACATGCTGAATTTTTCATGGGCTAGATTTCTAAAATTGAAATCAAGGAGTGTAGACATTTTAAATTTTCTTTTTTTTTTAATCAATATTTTTTATTATAATGTTGTGGGGTACAGTTAAGGGTTAGGTATACAATTACGTTTCATTCAGGCACCCTGTTGATAAGAGGTGTTTCCCCGTCCCCAGACAGATATTTGCTACTGTTAATCCCATCTCCCTCC